GGGTGCAGTTTTTCACACAGTTTATTTGTGTGAAAACCAAAGAATAACCTGTTAGTATCTGCTCACGTTCATAGGAGGTGGTTCTACACGACTACGTGTTTGAAGGTTTTTAGGAGGCAAGCCACAAATATCTTCTCAGAGAACGGGACGTTAATTTGGAGATGAATTACAGCCATCTTCTACTTTAAGTGTTTTGCTATTTTCTGCCAAAAGAACAGGTTAACTCACCAAAATGACAAATAATCCCTTTAAATCCCATACCCCAGATGGTGGTGGAGCAGCGAACCCATTCCACGTGTGGAAACAGACATCTTCGCAGCCCCAACAGCCCACCCCAAACCCCACCTACGCTCCTCACTATTCTTCCAGGATTTACTGGATCCTGGAGTTAAATACCTCGGCTCTGCCAAAGCCCGTGCTCCTCTACAGGTGTCTCCATCACTGCTTTAGCTGGATCAAGGTGTCGTGATGCGAAGCTCCTGCTCACCTCCACTCGCTCCGCAGAGCAGTCACCCGGCACGTCTCCTGCTGCAGGATCCCAACACGCTCCAACGGAGGTCTAAAAATTACATACTGGGTTCCAATACTACACCGACAGCCAGCGAGAACATCCAAGCTTAGTGAAAACATTGACTTTAGAGGATCTTTTTCAATATTCTTACCAGTAGTCGTCTGCCAATCCCACCACATTGCAGAGGCTGCGTTTTGTCTCCTACTACCACTGAAATATTTTAATTTTTCTAGATACGATTTGATTACAGCATATCACAGCATATAATCACATTCGTGTTGCTGGACAAGAAAAGACGTAGCAACGTAAGGAGTTGTCCCAGAAAAAAACTGAGCACTTTATGGAAAGAAGTAAACTACTACAAAATACTGCAACAGGTTATTGTGAATTACTCACATCTTTAAAACAAGCTGCCTGGATATGGTATTTAAAAAAAAAAAATCTGCAATTTGAAAAGATTATTCCGTATCAAATAGTATCAATAGGTGCAGTAGACTGATTTCATAAATGTAGGATGTACCACAAAATAAATTACTCCTTTCATTATATTTAAGAGAATTAAAGTTTTGACACGATAACCTTAATTTTAAATGCAAGTAGTTTTTTATATGGAAATGGAGATACCTGAGAATTTGTTTTCCTTAAAATGGAAGTCTCATACATTCCTTTAGTTTAATTGAAAACTGTTTCTAAAGAAAAATGTGTGATACAGAAGACAACACAACTGGAGTTTAAAATACCGTCAATTTTGTATTAGCAAAAGTAAGCACAGGATATATTTTTGAAAGGTTGTTTTTGGGGGTTCTTTTTTATAGAACAAAAGGTGTCAAGAGTAAAAACACTACTATGCAAAAAAAAAAAGGCAAGTTCTACTTATAAGAAACTACAGCAAGATCCTCAGAAGTATTTTTTAAAAGTGATTTCAGTGAGCTATTTCTGTACATCTTGGTCACTTAGGTGCTTCAACAGTGCAGTTTAAACTTGAAAGAAGTATCATGCCATCCACTAGCTTACTTATGTTACAACTGAAATACACTGACTTAACATGTGGGAAATACTATTTGGAAGCACGCAGAATGGAAGGTTTGCCCGAGTCATGTACTAGCATCTTGGTACAAGTATTTTCACCAGAAATTTAAGTAGAAGTGTAAACTGGAGTCGAATTCCCAGAAGTAGGAACACACATGCTTTTCTATTCATTTTGCAAAGTGTGAGGAGTTTGCCATCCTCCTAACGCCAGTAATATTTCAAAATCCTAACTGTGATGTAAGTGCTCAGTGCACATAAACGTCGGAACATGTCACTGAGGAAGCAGTTTGCTTTCAGGCTCTAGAGCCAGACCCATGCTGTGTGGTTGCAGCACCCTTAGGGAATACACAGTCTAACTCCAATGTACCCAGCTCAGCGCTGCAGTGAAGTTGTGGAAGCATCTAGCAAGTGGATGCTGTGAGGTCCTTCACACTTGGCAAGAGCTCCACGCAAATGTCCTCAATGGTAACTCACTATACTCCTTCAAATCCTTCCTTAAAAATTTATTTTTTATGTCACCAGAATATTTGCCTAGCTCACCGTTACACTACAAGCGTCTACCATGCTAACATTTCTCTTTTGTGTTTTATAGTAATACCCACACGTGTTAATCACCTTTGTCCACCATCTGTGGCAACAGCTGCCTATTTTTGGTTTTGTGCTGATACAGCTCCAAACCTAGTGGTGTCCCAGTGTGCTGCTGGGACTCAGTCACACATTCATACGAAGAATCACATAAACAACAGCTCAAGCTGACTCATCGGGCAACACTCACACCGCTGCAACGCAGACATAGCCTGAATGGTCTAAGAGGGATACAGACCAAAAACCTGTCTTCCTTTCAGCTGGAAACAGTAGCAGCTTGGTTAGCAGGCAAGTTAATGTTACCATGAGGGATGAAGTTTAAAAAGTATATACACAGTTCCTTTATGAACTTTTTGAAGCGTTCATGCATAATCTGGGGAAGAAAGAAGAAACAAATTGAACATTTTCTGTTCTTCATCAACTTGCACATTTTTATTCCTTGCTTCACTGAGCGCCTGAAACCGCTTCCAGTAACAGCTAAAGAGCTCTGCAACACGCTTCAGTATGGAAACAACGCAACCTCAGTCACCCTGACGCTGTACAAAACTACAGTCTTTACTCAGAAAGATGGGGCATACCTTGCAAGCAATTGGCGTATTACAGAAAAATGCTAAAGAAATAGGTGTATATATCTGTTTATTGTAACAATTTTAAAAGGCAAGAACGTGCTGCTGTAATACTTTCCCAGTGAAGAAACAGGAAATACACTGTTTAGAGCAGTGTCCTTAAACTAGATCCAGCAAGGTATGTTGAAAGCTACTTATGAAACATTATGAGTGAATGAATCAACAATCCTGATAGCAGAGAGAGGGATTACAGTGCCTTGCAAATGGACAAAACACAGCAAAAAAAATCTGACTTCACAGCAGCAATGTTCTCTTCCTGATGTGAGCTTTCAGATTCTGATTTCAGGATAATAAGCAGTGAAGAAGTCAGCCAGGAAGTCATTTCACTTTATGCCACCAAATGTCTATTGATGCGTTTCAGCTAGCGTTCTGCTAGTTCTGCAAGATACTGGTAAAACTAAAGGCCCACAGATTATGGTTCACTCGATTTCTAATTTGAAAAAAAACAACTAAAACCACAAAAACCTGACTAGTGCCCAAGGTGATGTTAAGTGATATTTCTGTGTAAGTTGACTTTGTTTTTAAACACGCTTAACTGGCTTATGTTTTCCAAGCTTGTCACAAGTACACCGTATACTTTAACACAAAAATATTTTCAAAGACATCTTTTGGATGAAAACGTTTAAAATTATTTTACAAAAATAACGTAAAATAAATTACCTTTTTCTTTTTTAAATGAACAGCTATAAAACCCACGAACCAAACATGTAACATTGACACAAAATTAAATACATTACACTAAAGGCTGGTTAATTACCACAGTGGTACGAAGCTTCAAGTAAATTACTAGGCACCTTTTGCCCAAACAGTAGTCACTCATTCAGTGGAAAAGTCCAACTGACAGAAACACCTGAAACATAATTGCTAAAGCTTTCTAAGATTCCAAACTCCTCAGAAAAGTGCAGATAAAAAGGCGAAGACAAAAAGGCCAGCTATTACACCGCACAGGACACCCGCTGTTAGCCGTTTTCCTTCCATGGCTGCGTTCAGCTTAGCTGGAGTTCCAAAAACAGCGTTAAAAAGTCAGCCTTCTCCGTCTTATCTGGGCATTTCTGTTAAGGCTTTACATGTCCAAGCAGGGCGAAGCAACGGCAGCTCCAGATATGTGGGAAAACAGCTAAAAAGAAAGGCTGAGGGTTCTACGTGAGCAAGCACAAAGCAGCAGAACACATTTGGAGTTCTCTCTGGTTTGAAAGAGCACTCATTACATGCAGAATTCCAAGCAGTAACCCATGTTGTGCTCTGTGCCAGCCAGTTTGTAATTGCGTGAATGATCAGATAGCCTCAAGAGCCCCAATACCTAGAAGCTAAATCTTCCAGCAAACAAAAGAACGTACTGTCGTGTGGGAGTTTAAGTACCAGTAACGTGCATAAGCTATTATGAAAAATTGCAATTAAAATAGCTAACGTAATGAATAAAAGCACAATAAAGGACAACTAAAGCAAAAAATAACATATTTCAAAATACTTTTAAAAGCATATTGATACTTAATAGACTTATATTAAGTATAATAATATACCTAAGTATATTATTAGTAAGTATACTAATGTAAGATCATATTAATTTAGAAGTTGAACATTTTTGAAAGCAGCAGTTTGCGGCATGATTTTAAAGCACAGTTTGTTTTTTGGGGAAGAAAAGCGTAGCACTGAGTAGTCCTTAAGAAATCACGTCACCTCGATGAGGTGCAAAGTTCTCCAGCTGGAAGACCAGGTCTACAGCAGCATTGACATCTGGTACAACGTGATCTGGTTCTACTAAACCAGGATCAAATCTAAAATCTCTGTGGCCGTGGAACACCGTTTCAGTGATGCTCTCCCTGGTACCCACGGGTACCTCTGTGTGAGGGTTGTAAACCCCAGTACAAACAAGAACAGACCTGCAGTGGGCAGCAGCTGCAGATGCTAATTCATTCTCCCAACTGTGGTCTATTTCATCATCCTGAGAGAGAGCGGCAGATCCTCTGCCACCAGCAACTTTGGCCTGAATCCGTGATTTGGAACCTTTTCTGGAGTCCTCTTCAAGATAGCGATTGTAAAGGTTAGCACCATAGACATCAGTCATGAGATTATCTCTGGAAACGCAAGAAGAAAATTTAGTCAGCAGTGCAGTTGTAGTTGTCAAACTTCAATTGTATGAGAGACATTTTTATGGTTTCTATTTAACAGTTTATTTTATACTTTCCATAACTTTATGTGGGAGTATGCAGCTAGGAAGAAATTCAATCTTATAACTATTTTATTACACCATTTTCATTAAGCACAACATATGATAAAAGTGAATAACTCTCCATATTGAAATTGCAGACTGGGGCAGGGAGAGAAGAAATCAAGGATAGGTATTAGAAATCCATGAATGAGTTTATTATATTTCCAAACATCTTGGAGATTCTGGAACAGTCTTTAATACAATACAGCTTTATCTCTTTCTATGAAAATGATTCTATCATGTGACAGCACACACAGTAGCATATGATTGAGCTTAACAACCTCGGAAATAAATTCTAGCTCTACATTCTCTAATAACTATCATCTAGTCAAAGATCGTTGGTGTTACACCAGTAAACCTAACAAAACAACGCAAATCCTTTCTGTTAGATTTACACAGCCTATTGCAGACATAAAAATAAATATATTTTTTTAAAAGAGAGAAATCTTAGTTGCATGTAAAACACTTTTTGCGCGTCTACAGAAATTACACATAGAAAGAGCTAAGTATTACTAATTTTCAAGATTAGAAACAGTGAAGCTTGAAAACATTTTAAGAACTACACCACAGCACCAAGAATTAGGTGGTTCCAATGGTGTGAGAAACAAAGGAGTAGAGTTGTGTGTGTTTCTCCACTGGTATTTATGCTGCGAGTAATCTCCTGCAGTACTGTCTAGACGGATGATCTCTTACCCAACAGCATAAAGAGTCTGAATAGGTTGTTTCCATTGTCTTTCTGCTGCCTGAGCCCTGATGAGGTATTCCGCGTACTGGTAGGTCAGTTTACTGGGTTTGCCCATTAAGGCCTCGTATTTCAGATCTTTGCCAGTGATCTTCTTGTAAATGTTTTCCAAACAAACCATGAACGTTCCATGCCCAAACCTACAACGGTACAAAGACAAATCAAATTATATTAAGTACACATAAAAAAAGAAAGCCTTTTTTATTTCATGATCTTTTAGGAATAAATCATATCCTGTAACTATCAAATTTCCCTCCGTTGGGATGCACCATTTCCACAACTGTTTCACTGAAAATTAAGTGCTGATTAGCTGAACAATAAAGACTGCAATAAAAACACGTTATTGGGAGAGCACAACAGACTTCGAATCATAGAATGGTTTGAGTTGGAAGGGACCTCAAAGATCATCCAGTTCCAACCCCCCTGCCATGGGCAGGGACACCCTCCACTACACCAGGTTGCCCAAAGCCTCATCCAACCTGGCCTTGAACACTTCCAAGGATGGGGCAGCCACAGCTTCTCTGGGCAACCTGTTCCAGTGCCTCACCACCCTCTGAGTGAAAAATTTTTCTTATATCCAATCTAAATCTGCCCTCTTTCAGTTTAAATCCATTGCCCCTTGTCCTGTCACTACACGCCCTTGTAAAAAGTCCCTCTCCAGGGACTTATCTGTTTGTAAAATGTAGCAATGATTTGTGTTAGTGTTACTTGCATTTCAGCAGATTCCCTAGTTACAAAAGTGATGCTCCTTGAAATCCTGCCTAGCCTGTGATGTACTCTCCGCAGTGACCTAACAGAATCAGCAAAACTAACAAAGAGGAGAAATGGAAAAGTCAGAATCAGAGAGAGGAAAATTAATCTCAACTGAAACACAGAATATACCAAAACTCCCTTGTAATATGGAAACAAAAAATCTTCATGGGTTTCTCAAAAAAACAGATGCAAAGGAGGATCAAGGAACAAACTCTGATTTTACAGCATGCTTTTGATAATTCACTCGGTTATTTTGATCAAGGTAGAAACAGTCACGGTGGGTCATCAAGCAAGCCAGTACATCAGCCATTTCAAAGATGTAATCTCATGACGAAAACAGCAGTTTTACTTCATTACAGAAGTCAGCAAGTGATATTAGGGATGAACTAATACATATCACTGGAGAATATGGCATTATCAAAAACACAGAAGAAGAATAAAAAGTTGCTATACAACAATTCTATATACAATAAATAACACACAGTTTTAAGAGCTGCTAGGTAACTTCTAATGCACACAGATCAGTACAGCTGCTCAAACCAGCTATCTACAGCCTAAAAAACCCTAAAACACCAGTATCATGAGCGTCAGAAGCCAGCAGAGATATATGAGGTACACTAAAGAGATTCAATCTCTAGCAGCCTAGAAATCAAAATAGTCTTTTGAGGAAAAAAGCTACAAAGAAGGAAGGAGCTGTAGCACTTTTAAATGTGGTACAGAATTAGCTTTTCTGAATTCTGACTTAGCCCTTCATTCCTTCTCGCCATTCTGTTTGTTGCTTTTTATTACGAAATACCAATAAATAAGCATAAAATTATTTCCAGTAATTAGCATCAACAGCTTAAAACAACTTAGTCATGGCATTATATTCCAATAGTGAAGGAAACAGCACTGACAGATGTAAACTTGTCACACCACCAAACTCAAAGGAAAAATGATCTTTATACTGGATCTTTCCCAAAGGACGCAGCTGAAACTACGTCTTACCCACCATAGATATTTTGGCTGCCTTACTCTAGCCTGAAGCTGTCACACATATGTCTTTTGGCAACGTGCTAATTAGAGATGGTCTTTGCATCCAAGTAAAGATATCTGACAAGATCTTCGATCCAAGATCAAGGCAGCAATCCCATCACAAAAACAACAATTTCTCTTCCAGTGTATGTGCAAATTTTAGATGGAGGGGAAACAAAACTGTTAAAGAACTACCTTCTGTTGAAAACAAAATCAAACAAAACCACTACCAGAGACCACGTCACCTTGCTCTGTCTTCTCCTTGTTTTTTCTTACGTTCCTTAAAGCACTCGCTCACTATATTGTCCTTAGCTCAAAAACACTCACTGCTTTCAACTAGCAGGATCAATTCTTTACCCTACCAGAAACTGTAGGGTGAAAAAGAGAAATACTAAAGAAGAATCTAATAAAATGAAACAATGGCCTTGATAATTGTTTCATTTTTTTCCTTTGAACTGAGACTCAGAGGCCCTCAGCCAAAAATCTATCTTTCCCCACTCTTCTAAGGGACTGATTTCCCTCAAAAATCTATCTTTCCCCACTCTTTCATCTTGAGGGACCAATTTCCTGAATGCAATAATGTAGACAATAATGAGGCAGCATTTGCTGAAAGTGCCTTGCTTTAGAGACATTGTACTCAGAGCTGAGACTTACTGCAAAGCTATAGAAAGCATTTTGTACAAAAGTATTGACTCTGAATTTTCCTGAAGACATAAGGAAACCCCAAATATATCACGATATCCACCCGTGTTATAATTGCACTTACCTTGGAGACTGTGCTTCAGCAACCCACATCAGATCCATGTTGCACGCGAGTACAGGAATGTGAGGGTAATTCCCATGGTGATACGGGTTTCCAGGATAGCCACTTGTCAGCAGAACATCTATTATCAACTGGAGGTTGGTTTCCCATCTGACTGGCTCCCCAAACAAAACAACAGCTACGAGAACAAGAATCACAAAATAAAGTTGTGGAATTAGTTCACAGGGCACCAAATCTCTGACACTAAAACTTGGCCTAAAGAGACTGAACAAGTAATTTGACTTAACTGTGAACTGATGTAACAGTCACATCAACTTTAACTTAGGGTTTTAACATGTTACATACCCATCTGTTTACAGAAAACCTCAGAAGTAACAAGACCCCACTGCAAAATCTACAGGTTTAAGAAATTTATAATTGTTTTATTGGTTAAGTTTCTCCACAGCACCACAAAATATTCATTTCTAAATTGCATTTCTAAGTCTTCCATACCTTTGTGAATTCTATGTTTACATACGGTGTTTAAATAATCCATCAGAGATGTTATTTTGTTTATCTTAAAATGAAATCTGAATGTTCTTTTTAGACATTTTTCTGGCCTCCAGCAATCATCTGATGTGGATGTTTTTAAATCCTGAGGTCCAGTTTCTACTTTCTTGTACTTCAGATGAGATGAGGGTGAGTATGGTATGCTGAAACAAGATGCTTCTCCTACTACGACTCTGAAGTGACTATCCTGACTACCGTATGAAGACGACCGTTTATTTCTGAACACGTCAATTCATTCCTTATTTTTGAAAGGAAGGCAATGATAGCCTGTTAAAGGAAGATGAAAAGGAAAGCAGACCTCACCTGTCTTCTGAAACTTCAAAAACACATGGCTGAAAACTGCACACATTAAAAAAAAAACAGCTTTATCACACGTCATACATTCCAAATTAATGACAGATGTCATTAACGAGGAAATTTTAGAATTGCCTCAGCCAACTTTCTCAAGTGCCCAACAATCTAAAAAGAAATTCTAATTATAAAGAAAAGTACGATAAAGATATTTAATCTATTAATGGGTAGTTGCAAGTTAAGTAAAAATAACTGACCCTCAATCTTGGGAAGCTCCACAGCAGAAGGGTACTGCAATAAGAAAAAAGTAAAAGTTTTCTACAGGATTAAACATCTACTACTATTTATTAACAGGATAAATTCAAGTATAGCTCCCACAGTTGCCTTCTGCAACACCGACAGGAAACGCACTCTATTTTGCTACATATCCCACATCAGTTTACTTAGAAACTCGTCTTTCAGTTTTGAAGTGGCAAATCTTGTGGCAAATGGGCAGCAGACCAGTTAGTGTGCTCTACATTCGCTCATCTCCTACATCTATTTAACTTCCCCTGGCACCCCATAAAGCCTCAGTTGTTTAATTTACTTGCGTACGAAAGCGTGCAAGTTTATTTTTCCACAGGAGTAAGAGGCCTCTAGTGTTAACAAGACCTTTGAAAAACACTTTATGAAATGTATTTCTTTAACATGGCTAAGAAAGAAAAATACATTGTATAGCACATAATAAATTTCTAAACAAACAAGAGTTTGTACTTCATGATTTACTCCCCACGGCGACAAATCCATTAACAGTTTCTTGAACTTCGACACTTGCACAGTTGAGAAGCAAGGCAGAAGGTGATGGAACTGAGTTAATGGCTTCTGTGAACCACAAGAATTTCTTGACTTCACATGGGAAAAATCTACTTTATATATGGACCTTGAATATGTACGATACATGCATGTATTTACTGTGTAGGTATTCACTACTTCTTGAAATTCTGCACAATTCAGTTGAAACCGTACTGTTAATATTTAAATAATGGTATAAAGAAGAAAGGGAGTCCTTTGGAGAAGAATTAGTTACCTGCAAAGCATCAACTTATAATCAAAGAAACCTCACAGCCTAGAAACAATGCCAAAACAGTCCTATACTGAAGGAAAAAGCTTTTTTTTTATCTTCCACACATCTGAGGAAACTAGTAAGCTTTCCAAGACAGATTTCTGAATTAGATATCAGTACTAAACTATAAGTTTTCTCACAATAAGTTACAAAATCAAAGATTATGTTAAAGAATTATCACTGATAGAAAAAAAAAAAAAGTCTATACAGTTGTTCCTGAAAATGCTGTCATAAAACAAATAAAGAAGCAGAAAAGCAAAATACAGTGTAAGAAAACAGCGTTAGCTCGGTAGTTTAAATATTGACCCCTATTATAGAATGTCATCTGATGAAAAACAAAGAATTTTCAAACAAAAATACTCACTCACCAGAACGTTAGGTCTCCTGTCGTGGTCGACGACATCCAGCAAAGGGTATTTCTCCCGCAATGTTTCAATGGTGACGGGCTGACAGAAACCAAGGCTGGGGAAATACCAGTTAAGGACACAGAACTGCTCATATTAAAGGATTTTTAAAATCTGGAACTTTTAAATAATGTTAACGTATACAGTTTATCTGATAAAGCAAATTATTTAGGAATGAAAGCTACATACCAAAGACTGACTTTTTCTTCTGTGAGGTAAAAAGATGATCATCCCGTTATTTATAAATGGGACACCTGTGTGTCTGAAGTCTTAAGGCAGAAATTATACATAAATCTTGCTAAAAACGTGAGATGAAAAGCAAGAAGCCAATCTACACCTGCAATACTCCAAGATTATCTTTACATAAGCACAAAAGGAAGTTTATCTGACAGCAAGACAACATCTTGTGTAATTACTGTAGGAAAGAAATGTGAGCTAAACAAACATCCTCAAGCTCAGTCTCTTGCAAAATAGTGAACTAGCCAAAAAGGTTTAATTATGCCCTACAGGTAGTTACTGCAAATACCAAAACATATCAAAAAAGGAGAGGAACAAAAGGGAAAAAATAACCTCCTGATTTGCCTATTAGGGCTCTTAAATGGTGATATATCCCATTAATTTAGTTAACAACAGGTAATTAAACTAAAACTGCTTATTTATGTGCAAAGCAGTTACGATGCTACTGTCAATACTATGAGGACTTCTTACAGTGCAAACAAAAATAAGAGTCACACAAACTAAGCCACCTGATTCTGTATTGGCATTAACACCACAGACCACTTGCGAAGTTATTTTAAAATAAGATTATCCCCTACAAAAATGCTAACAGAAATAAGCTTTTTATATTTTGTATTCACTCTTGTAATGTACTTTTCTGCTAGCCATCTGACAAATTTTGACAGTTAACTGCAATGTTTCTTCAGTAACTTCTTCTCATCTTTGTATTTGACATAAACCTTACACTTAGAAGTTGCATATACCTTTTTCACACCTTATTATTTACACCAACTTCAATTAAAATCCCAATAAAAAAGAAAGTACAGAAGCATGAGTGAATATTATGCAAGTTAAGGTCATTAAATTACAGTCTGAAGCCTTGATACCACCGTTACATCAACATAATTCAAGTTCTTTTTGGCAGTTAGTATAGAAGTGGCAGAATATTTTCAAGTAGAGTTCTCCTGTCGATGACGGTTACAAAAACAATGTGGCCTGGCCTGGCCGCATGCTTACAAGCAGATCTTGAGCTGTGGAGCCAGAAATCAGATAAATAATAGATAGAATGCCATGCTCTCATCCTCTAGAGAGCACAAACCCTTTGTGCTAAAGTGTCGTTTACATACGAGTCAAAAATATATTTTTTCTCTTTTTTTCCATCCCCATTAAAACCAGATAGAACAAAGCGAAGCAAATATTAACACACCAACCATTTTCAAAACATAAAAGTTGACATCGCAGTAAGAACTACCATTGCTTATTACTGGGTTTGTAGTGTTGAAATATTTGGTCTTCACTTGATCCACAGGATCTCCTGAAGTTGAATAAAGAAAATACTTAAACAGAAAGTTGTTTGTTTGTTTTTAAAAAAAGATACTCTTGAGCAATATCAAGAAGTGGTCCTTGTCCAGATACAAGAACGCATTTTTCATGATAACGTTTGAACATCCGCAGAGGACTGTGTGACATCATGACTTGATCTTGTGAAACCTGTTTGGGATTTAAAACCAAAAGGAGTCTGTTGTTTTTCAGGTAAGTTAGTTATATGCAGGTTTATCTAACGGGTGTGACAAGTTCTACGAATTACAAAACAATCACAAGAAGAGGCAGGAAGCTCCTGTCTTGCACACCATCACAGAAGACATTCAGCTTGCTAGAGCAGAGTTTCATGTTACTGGTTTTTTATTCAGAAGGAGAAGGCAAGATTTATTCCCGCAAAAATAACGTTGCAAAGAAATACCATTACCATTGGAAAAATCCAGACCTTTACCAATGGAAATACCATTAGCTTTGGACAGTATTTTTTACTTTTATAACATCTCCAGTAAAGCATTTCAGAAGCTTTCAGGGGAAAACAAAACTGATTTAACAGAGCAGCATTTTATGGAGGATAATAAACTTGACACATTCACTGTAAGTAAATAACTAACTAACTAAGATTTAAGCTACTCACTGGAACTCCCAGTAGATGAGACAACTGATCAGCTTTTTTCTGGCGAAGGCAATCCCCTGCATTGGTGACAAACACCACAGGCACCAAGAATTGTCCCTGAGAATTAACTAGCTTTTGAAAGGCTGTTTTTGCAGAAGGAATTGGAGTCTTTCCTCGTACCAGTACACCATCAATGTCAAAAAGAAAGCCAAAGGAGGGCAGTACGCTGAGCTGTAAGAAGGAATTGAACAGAAAGAGTACGTATGTTATGCCCACAGTTATGCATATTTAATAAAGCTTACGATAGCTAAAGCCCAATGAAAACAGGTGCCTCCACAGAGAAGGAATGGATCTTTAACTTCACACATTTTAATGTGCCTTATGACGTATCCATACGCTGAAATAGTTCTGTGAAAAAAGGAGCACCGCAACTCCCTTTGTCTTGTGCATGCAGCCTCACGAGTTCCACCTTGCACTATGAGTAGTTCCACAAAGTTTCAGCAGATTGAGACAAACTGAGTTAAACTGACAAAAAGAGGTACGAAATACAGGCTGCTGTGCCAGCGAGTCACACTTTGATTTAACTCCACTCTGTGATTTCACAGGTAATTCCAGTGCACAGAGCACTAACAGGACCCTCTACTATCAAAACAAACAGAAGTAAATTTTTCAGCAGCAGGTGGGTCTTGAATGCAAATATTGTACTTGGCTCCTTCCTTACAAGATGATTAGATATCAAAACTGTCCCTGCTGTCACTTGTATTTATCAGTTCCACAACAGGTTAGCCTACAGCCAGATTATCTGTTGGGCTCCTCATATTTCAGATATTCTTAGTTTTACAGATGGCAAACTCATGCCTATTGGTAAAGTTAGCACCTCCTGAAACAAAGATGCTGTCTGAGTTACTAAAATTTATCTCATTGCCTGCCTTTGAAGAAATGGACTTGAGGAGCCTGGCTAACTGGGGGTGAGAAAGAGGAGCTGGGTGATAAGCCTAAGGAGTGGAGACAGAGAGAGGACTGTTGAGAAATGAAACTGTTACTAAATCAGGCTGGAAAAGTATGGACCGAAAAGGGTCTAAAATCTAAACTTAATTTCTCTCCCACAAGCCTAAAACGAAATCCAGGACTCTTGGGATTTATGACCACCTCTTTCATCGTTTGATGAAAAAGGAGAGAGAGATCAAGGGCTGAGACCCAGTGTGATGGGGAGGACAGGCGCAGGAACAACTCCAGCCAACGGCGGTGGGACAGCCTCTGCGACCCAAGCTGTCTCGGGGCACACGCTGACAGCCATCCAGCCCACTGCTTTCCCACGCAGGCAGAAGGGCGTTTGGCCCATTTAAGCAGCACTTTGTTCCTCATCAATTATTCATCTGCTACATCTTTCCTGCAGCTGAGTAGAGCACAGATGCTGCCACCACCACTATCGGAAAGGTGACGTAGCTGCAGATGCGCTGTGACACTCTGGCTCACTGTTGCCTTTTCTAAAGTCAGGACACACAAACAACAGCTGAAAGCCCATGAGTTAAAGCACATTCCCCTACAGGGCTCGATTTAAAGTCAACACCTCAAACATATTGCAAGAGCACTGATTTTCATTAGGCAGTGGGTTCTGTTCAGTTTGACACGCAAGTACTCCCCCTGAAGCCCTGTCCCTTCTCCCCTATATAACCATCAGCCCTCTATTTAAAAACAAAAACCCTGCAGCCACTCTCTCCAAGTTGTCTGCTACAGTTTGGCGAGCGCCACGTCAGAAATAACCCAACTGCTGCACAAACGACGTCGCAGGATCGCTGATACCCCTCGCAGGCTTCCTAAACTGGTATGTGACGTTACTCACAGAATCACAGAATGTCAGGGATTGGAAGGGACCTCAAAGGATCATCTAGTCCAAACCCCCTGCCGGAGCAGGACCATCTAGATCAGAACACACAAGAATGCATCCAGGCGGGTTTGGAACATCTCCAGAGAAGGAGACTCCACAACCTCTCTGGGCAGCCTGTTCCAGTGTTCTGTTACCCTTACTGGGAAGAAGTTCTTCCTCATGTTTAAGCGGAATCTCCTATGTTCCAGCTTATACCCATTTCCCCTTGTCCTATCATTGGATGCCAGTGAGAAGAGCCTGGCTCCATCCTCATGACAGTCACCCTTTACATATTTATAAACATTAATGAGGTCCCTCCCCAGTCTCCTCTTCTCCAAGCTAAAGAGACTCAGTTCCCTCAGCCTTTCCTCAGAAGGGAGATGCTCCACACCCTTATGAAACGATATTGTAACAGTTTTGTAGTAAACACAGTGTTTCCCATGGGTTTTGCTACAAATTACGCAGATTACCATGTGAACTTTACAGCGAACTGTAGCAAGAAGGGGAAAAAAAAGTCTCTTTTTAAGTATGCAGCAAAAAAAAAAAAGCACTAAGAAGGGAATTCAGCGTACATCCAACAGGAAAATAACGACATTAACAGCTATTTTCTTTTCATTTTGACCACAAAGGAACACTCGTCCCGACAAAAGAGACCTGCGGCGCTGCGACAACAAAGGGGTCGGGACGGAGCCCGATCGTAACGGCCTTCCGTCGTTCCTCTGTCGAAAAAAAATAAAGCAAACGCGGG